AACTTTCCTTCTCACGGCCCCGTCACGAGGAGGTAGTGCATGTTTCCAATAAGCTGAAAATGTAGCTCAAATGGTAGGTTTTATTTCACTTTAATCCGCCTGTGAGTTCACATTAAAGGTAAGAGGAATCAGAGTCCCGCAATGTGAACCAAGTTCACTGAAATCAATGGCTTAACCCCCTCCCCCAGATCTTGGCCAGATGGAGGGGCTGAGGCAACAGATAGTGACTGCGACCCAGAGGCCGATGGAGTAGGAGGCAGTTGTCCCAGCTCGCGCTGGTTTCTGGGCAGCAGAGGTAGTGTGGAGCCGTGCACACTCAGTGAAGCTTGCTTGTTTCTGACACCTCGTGGCTGATGGCAGCCTGGTGGTGCAGTGGGTTGTTATAGAAATGATCCTCTGTCCAGGTCCTCAGCTCTACCAGTCAATCAGTCACTGGGAGGGCTGAAACCAGACCCCTCAACTAAAGCTTCCTTTACACATTAATGGAGCAACTGTTCCCTAGATGTCATACTGCTGTTCCCTCGGTGCCCTGCTGGTGCTCCCTCGGTGTCCTGCTGGTGCTTCCTCGGTGACCCATTGTTGCTCCCTCAGTAACCTGCTGGTGCTCCCTCGGTGACCCTCTGGTGCTCCCTTGGTGTCCCGCTGGCAGAACTGACTGCTGCTCCTTTGCCTACCAACAAGTATTCTTTCAGGTTAAGAACTGTCCTGTCCAGGCCTCTAGCAGGGTGGCCTCATGGTTCCCTATGGCTTCAAGCAGAACTGGTGTGTGTACATGGCAGGCTGGCACAGCAAGGTGGGTATTGCTGGTGTGTGCCTGGGATGGGAAGCAGAGAAAGATTTGGTAGGTGACTGGCCTGGACTCAGTCTAGCCAGAGACCCCTGACTGGCATTGCTCAGGGCCGTTCTCAGGGTCTCCTGGAGGAGCCTGCCCTCTTGCACCTCTATCGGAGACGAGAAGTGCTGGCAAGAGGACATCGTCTCTCCTTCACCATGACAGCCACCAGTGCTGGTGACAGCACTGTCTCCTTCACCATGACAGCCACCAGTGCTGGTGACAGGGCATCGTCTCTCCTTCACCATGACAGCCACCAGTGCTGGTGACAGCACTGTCTCCTTCACCATGACAGCCACCAGTGCTGGTGACAGGGCATTGTCTCTCCTTCACCATGACATCACCAGTGCTGGTGACAGGTCACTGTCTCCTTCACCATGACAGCCACCAGTGCTGGTAACAGGTCACTGTCTCCTTCACCATGACAGCCACCAGTGCTGGCGAGAGGGCACTGTCTCCTTCACCATGACAGTCACCAGTCACCATGCAAAATCGCAAAGCCCAGATTCCAGTTGAGTTGGGGTCCAGAGGCTTGAGGAGGAAGAGAAAGGAAACACTGCTGTGTTCTGTTTGAGGCAAGGAAGGGACCGACAGCTCTGTCTCATCCTCCCAGGCTCTCTGGTCTTCTTGACCTTGCTGGCTACTTAGCTTTTTCCACTGTGGGCCTCTGAGTGCTGGTGTCTGTGGGTTTACCTCAGACCTTTGTCACTGTTGGCCTCACATCCTCTGTCCAGCTCCATCCCAGCCACTGGGAGAGCAGCATCCCACAGTCCTGAGCAGACAGTGTCGGTTTGGGAAGGTGTGCATTATCAGTACCTGTGAGGATTAAATAGCTTCAACAGGCAGGGCAGGGAATGACCTTGGAATTTCCAGACGTCTTCTCTGGGATTGCAGTGGTCTGCGGTCCATCTGATCATAAGAGATTCTCCACATATGGCAGGTGCGTTTGCAACATATGTGTACACGTAACTGAGCCCACAGGATCACATATGCTTAGCTTGTTCCATTGCACTGGCCATCACTAACCGACCCTCCTGAACACTTACTGTGTGCCACAGACAACTGTACAGCCAGTGCCTCATTTTCCTTCTACAGTGACTCTATTGTAGGAGTCACAGGTCCAAAGATCATGGGATGGTAAGTGAGCAGCATGAATTGCCCAGAGAGCTCGAAACAACCTGTGTTTTGTGCATATAGGTGTTTGCATGTCTGCATGTTCGTATGCTTCCATGTGCTTACCCCCGTGGCCATACATGTTGCCCTGCTGGAAGGGGGGGGGGAGGCTTAGAACATTCTTAAGAGATGGTTAGATAAGAGCCTGTGTAGGCAAGAGAAGTGGTGGTGATGTCAAATCCACAAACCAGGGTCTTAAAGTCAACCTTGAAATCTCAAGTGATAGAGGGGGATGGGGGCATGAATCTGATGGCTTGAGTTTGTGTTTTGCCAGAGGAGGGAGGTCTAGCAGAGTTTGCTGTCTTGAATACTTAGCACAAGCCAGGTGTACGCTTGTGACTGACGCCTTGGGAGACAGATGCGAGGTAGCGAGCGCAAGGCTACTCTGAGACTCACAGTGAGACTTTGTCTACAAAAATACTAAAACTCAAGGAAAAAAAAGAATAAGAAGAGAACGAGGAGGAGGAAGGAACGTTTCCGAGGAGACTTTGTGAAAGGAGCCAGATGTTTCCTGGCGTTTCCCCTTCCTGTGTCTGGCCTGTCATCCTCTACCCACTTTTCCGCGTGAGAACCTCACAGACACTTCGCCCACGGAGGAAATGTGCTACGCTATCTCATGGACGGTTAGCAGGGATGGGCTCATGCCTTCCTGGATGGAGAGAGGTGCTCAGGCACTGTAGCCTGTTCTGAAAGTTCTTCAGAGGTACAAGGGGCTGCACCCAGAGACCCAGGTGCCTTCAGCCTTGGGTGGCCAGCAGTCTCTAAGTGTGGCTTCTCAAGCTTTGTCTGTGGGCAGCTGCTCTGTAATACACAGACTGGGCAGTGCTAGAATCTTCCAGGGATCTGTGCCTCCTTTAGAATTAGGGGCACATCAAAGCAATCCTGAGCAGAGGACTGCATCAGCTGAAACTACAGGCAGGGCCTCCTCCCCACTGCCAATAGTGTCTCTCCTTCTACAAACCTAGATCTTCTGATACGAAAGTAGCTTAAAGCCCCCTCCTCCCTCCAGGAGCCGCTCTGAAACAAAACCGGCAGAGTCAGAGAACACTGGAAGCCCTTGAGCTCTGGAGCCACATCACCGAGGTTCAAGTTCTCCAAGTTCCATGTTTGTGATGAGCCTCAGGATTTGTATATTTTGGCTTCCCTGTCTTTGGTCTCAGAATGGCTGGCCTTTCTTGAGTGCATTCTGTGTGGCAGGTATGGCACTAAGCATTTTCCATGTCCCGCCTCCTAAGAGCCTCTCAACTGTCCTGGCAGGTAGGTATGCTTGTCTTCCTGGCTTTCCAGAGGGGGAAATGGAGAGCAAGACAGGCTAAGTCACTTGCCCAAGGTCACCTGGGTCACAAATGACAAGGCCCTGGCTAGATAGTTAGCCTTCTGGGTCTTACGTTCCTTCTCTGCGAACTGCACTCGAGATTATCCGTGTCTATCTGGGGAACTATGAGGACTGAAAGGTAGTAACAGCTGGCTGCAGATTTCAAGGACTTAGACACTGTGACTTGCTTAGCAGAGGTATGGACATACAGTAAGTATCAAGTTCAAATCCACTTAATGATAGGGTAGATCTCAAACCCAATCAGAGGAGAGAGAAGATCCAATCCAACAGCTGAGATAAAATAATTAGGTCATTTGTTCCCATTGCTTATCTCTCCGGAGGAAGAGCAAGCTGCTGGAAGGCGTATTTCTAGGGCAAAGTGTGGGCTTATGGTGGTTACCCGAGTCTGAGGGACTCTCCTGCTCTCAAGAGTCAACGTGTTTCTAAGTGACAAGCAGCTGCTAGCCCTCTGCTCCCTTTTCACTAAGAAAATTCTCCAACCCTTGCCTGCTCCTGAACGATCCCATCCCCAACCCACAGGGAAGATAAGCCCAGCAGGCATCTGGTTTACTCTGAGTGGGATAACTTGGTTGACTTCAGACACAGCCTTGCCTTCCAACCATGAAATTAGTTCTGAAAGAGCCTACTTCTCTGGGAAACCATCTTTCCCTGAGGATCTTTGCCCTCTGGTGAGCAAAGGCCTTGGTCCAAAAGTGACAGAGAATGGGAGAAGAGAAGGAAGAAGAAGAAGAAGAAGAAGAAGAAGAAGAAGAAGAAGAAGAGAAGGAGGAGGAGAAGGAGGAGAGGGAGGAGGAGGAGGGAGGATGGGGAGGGGGAGAAGGGGAAGAAATAGTCAAGCAGTCCTGGCTCCTAGCTCCCCTCCTGGAAGCTCTGAGCACTGCTTACAGCCTTCCCAGAAACTCCTACCTACCTTCCCAATTTCCTCTCACACCTCTTCCAGGTCCCCCCCCCCCACACACACACACAGCTCCATACGACAACATGGCGTACATGTGGCCCATCTGGGGCTCAGGGAATCCTACTGAGTATGCCAGCTTAATGAAATACTTTCAGTTTATTAAATACAGGCTTTCCTAAGCCCCGAGTGCCTGTGGATATTTGAAAGCTGAAGGCAACCCCGAGCTACCCCAAATGTCATCTCTCTACGTGTCCTTGCATTCCTGTTGCGACCCTATGCTTCTGTTCTTCAGCAGCCAGTAAAATGAGCAACATAAAGTAACTGCAGACAGACAGGGGAGGAAATGGTGTGTGTATGGGTGGGGGTGTTGGGAGAGACTCCCAGAACCCCTCAGGGCCTCTTAAAGTATATGAAGTTCCCATTACCCAGAGCCATGAAGGGCACTTTTCCACCCATGGGCTGCTCAAAGTTTACAGAATCAGTTTGCTATGAAGGGGCGACCAGCAGGCCTTGCATGTCAGCTTCGTGTGTCAATCTCGTGTGCCGTAGCTCAAATATTTCAAACCCTGTTTTAGCAAGGCTTGCTCTCAGCCAGCAGGGCTGGCAGGGTGCTGTGTCTGGGGGTTCCCTCTGCAGTTTTATTTCTGTTGCTCCTCTGGGGCTTGGCTGGAAACTGCTGTCTGAGTCCAGGAGGAGCCATGGGGAGACCCCAAGAGACCATGAGTTGCCTCCCTCCGAACAGGAGGAGTCTCTTCCTTTACGTTTTCCCATTCGTCAGTCTCCTGGGCCTGGGGTCTGTAAATCAGGGGTGAGGAGCTGAACCGGAAGTAGCAGACAAAGGCATCAAGGGAGTCACCCCCCTCTCTGCGGACTACCATCTGGATGCCGGAGAAGGAGATTCTGTTAACAGCGCTGAGGGGCACCTGCTCCAGGTACCTCAGTGGCAGCCCATTGACCCACACACAGCTCTTCCGGGACAGTACCTTGAGGCAGAAGGCCAGCAGAGTGCTGCCTTTCTCCAGGTAGGGCTCCAAGGACAGATGGTGTCGAGACAGCTGGGGCAGCTGCAGTTGGATGTGGGTGTCCTTCCCTCGTCCCACCAACAGCCGACTGGTATCGTGCTGCAGCTGTAGTGGGACTTTGGCAAAGGCAACCTGGCTTGGTGTGGAGTGGTACAGGCTCACTTGCAGGATGGTGAGGGTCCTCTCCATGGATGAGATCCTGGACAAAGACACACACACCTTTGTGTCACCTTGGGGGTCCTGGGGCCATGTCTTGCCAATGAGGACCATGGCTAAATGGATACAGTTATTCTGCCCAAGCAAGGATGGAGTGGAGGTTGACATTAGTGTTGGAACTCTGTTTCTTCACAGCAGAACAGGACACATTGCCCGTCTTCCCTGGGTTTTACTATTTTGTAATAAAGGCATGCCTATCCTTCTAGGCATGGGATAAACCTTACCAGCTTACAGGTTGGAGTCTGAGAGTCTGCAGGTCACCAGAGACAGTTTGTCTCTGCGTTAGAGGAACAAGAAAGCAGACGCATGAGGCTTCCTTGTATCTGGCAGGCACGAACAAACAAAGCCTCGCAGAGCCCTTCTTTGAGCCAGGTGTCAGCCTGGGTGCTGTGGTGAGGCAGAAGGAGACAGGCCTTCACTCTTGGGGGCACCCCTCTTGAGGGGAAGATATGGTGCTTCCAGATATGGAGGTACAGAGCAACAGAAAGGGGTCCTGAACATAGCAAGCACCTTCTTGGTGCTTCCAACGGGCCAGCCACCATGTCTCCTGAACATCCGGGCAGAAGGCAGATCCTGGTGGAGACTGGGCAGAGGGAAGCTGGCTCACCGGAGACCCCTCAGGGCCTCCGGGAAATGCACATAAGGTCCCAAAACTCCACCTCCAGGAACTCGTCCTTCAGTGTCTGATGGGCACACGTGGGAAGGACCATCCTATATTCAGCTTTGTTCCTGCCTGGTTTTGAAGGACAGATTCTGTCACATCTACACACTTCACATAACCCCAGATTTGCCACTAATTTCAGCAGGAACCAAGGGCTGAGTGGGGCTCAATAGCATTATATACCTTTTCTAGTGCCTGGCTTTGGTCTGCAGTATATTTTTTTTCTGCTAAGAATGTTTGTACCATCCTAGATTGTGTGGGAAAACATTGCTCATCTCTCACGAACCAGTGCAAATACTTTCTTCTCTAGAGAAGGTGACCTTGTCTGTGTCCTCTAACATCAGCCACAAGGGCACTCAGCCAACCCCTACTCCCTCACACACATCTGTATTGCCACCCCCAGAGTTCTGCAGGCTCTTGTCTTCCTCAATCTTCTCTCTTGTCTCCCTAATGTCTCCCAATGGCAGAGTGTGACCCGCCATATAGTTCAGAGAGCGCTTGGCCACAACAAATGTCTGGGGGTACATCTGCCAGGAACAAGGTAAGGCGACATCACATATATTGGATGATATTCAACCAACTATAGATGGCAGCTTGGTTCTTACAGTCTGTGGGATTGGGAGCCTTGCTAGATTACCACCCTTTGCCCTGGTGCTTTTCGGATGTCATATGTCAGTGGGAATCTAACCGACAACGGGGCCGAGTCCCCTGAGGACATTCACTCCCTAGCAGGCAGACACACACCTCTGGCCACTGCCTTCTGACCCCGAAGAACACTTCTTCCTGAGGCAGGGCCCAGGATTGAGGGCTGGGTACCAGAGCTCTCAAGCCTGAGAGCATAGCATAGCATAGCATAGCATAGCGTTCATCCTTTAGAAACCAGCACCGTGACCCATGGATACTATAAATAAACATGGCCCTGTGAGATCTCTCTCTGCGCTGTTGAGCAGTCAGAGCTGGTGGGAGCCTGTTCTCTGCCCAGCAGCACGTCTGCAGAGGCTGATCTGTTTGTCTTGGATCCCAGTGGATCTGGGAGAACAGAAACCCAGACCTCTTACTGCCCACCATGACTGACAAACAGGAACGCTGGTTCTGGCCGCGAGTCCTCCCCTTAGTCCCACAAGGCCTCCCTGGTGGTCCCAGTTCCTCTGACCTCCACCTACCTTACTGCTGGGGTATGTCTCTGCAGCTGTGTGCTCTCTCTGCAGGGAGGGGACTGGGCTGTGGCAAGGCCTGGGCGGGCTCTTCTGTAGTTCAGGAATGCATTGTCAGAGCATCCGTCCTACGGCTCTTCCGTTTTCCCTCTAGGAAAGAAATGAAAGTGCCATTTTCCATGGCAGAAGGGGAACCCACTGCCAGAGTTGCGAAACTGGTACCCTCTAGGAGAGTCCTCTTGACAGTGGGGTGTCCTGGGCCTCAGAGCTCCCAGGCTCTACTATTCCCTCCTCTTGATATTGGGGTGTCCTGGGCCTCAGAGCTCCCAGCCTTTACTATTCCCTCCTCTTGATATTGGGGTGTCTCGGGCCTCAGAGCTCCCAGGCTCTACTACTCCAGCCCCAGAGACCACAGAGTATTGACGACCTTCCTCTCCCATCTGACGGCAGAGGGTTGCTGGGCAGAGAGCTCCCAGATTACACGGTTCCTTTCTGCTGTCAGGGGTTGGTTAAGGAAGTCTTAAGAAATGGCAGCTCTCCAGGGTATCTCAGGAGAGACCCAGAGGACAGAGAGTATGACCACTCATAGGAATAGGCCCCTTTCGGCACACAGAGAAGGCCTTCTGATAATTTTGTTCCGTTTCTCCCCTTAAAATCAGACAGAAGATGCTGTAGTTGTTCATAAACTTGCTTGGCATGAGACCCATCTTGTGCAAGACCGCCTGAGCCCACTTTCCTGTCTTCTTTGTTTTCTGATCCCCTGGTCCTTTCTCTCAGGACCATCCCTGAAGAATGACCTGCTGGTTCAGGTCAATGAAACAATAAGGATGACATTCTAAAATGGGCTTCATTATATATGTTATATATGTTTAAAATATCTACATATTTATGTATGTATTATTAAAGTCCGGGTAGGTGGGAGGGTTACATATAGTTAGTGTTTCAAATTCCTCTCAATTGTCCAGGATGCAGGGACATGAACTGAAGGTAGACTTAATAATCTAAAGGTGCCCTGGGCGGTGGTGGCGCACGTCTTTAATCCCAGCACTCAGGAGGCAGTCGGAACTCTGTGAGTTTGAGACCAGCCTGGTCTACAAGAGCTAGTTCCAGGACAGGCTCCAAAGCTACAGAGAAACCCTGCCTTGAAAAACCAAATAATAATAATAATAATAACAATACAATAATAATAATCTAAAGGCGCATGATCTGATTTTTCTATGTAATCAGGAGATTATGTCTCCAAGACAAGCTAATAGCTGGAGAATGGAATAAAAAATTACAGTGAGGGCTTCATGTGCTTAAAACGGGCAGTAGGAAAAGCGGACATCTAAGGAGGTGGGACAAGGACAGTTCAGTCCTGGCTTGCAGTTGGGCTGGGTAGAACGGGAGAGGGGCTGGCATGCAATACTTTCCTGAGCAGAGACTCACTCATTCCAGAGGCTTCTGCTGCTTTCTTATAAGAAGGCATGGTTTGAACCCTCTGATACAGTGTCTTAGAGGCTGTACTTGCTCAAGGGAGCTCTGGGGCGCCATGGCTACCCCTGGGCCATTCCTTTCCTTTCCACCCCAGAGCTGGTGCTGAAATAACCAACTCCAAGGCTCAGAGGTGACTTGCCAGGGTCACATAGTGAATCTGCAGCACAGCCAGGTAAGGGCCCAGGAGAACTCATCCCTGGGCTCCATGGCCTGGCTGTAGTGCAATACCTTGCTTGCTGGGCCACGGAATCCTCTAGGCCATGTTTTGGGGACAGTCTTTGGGGTCTGGAAAAAGTATGGCTCTGCCATTGGTGATTCAGGACAGGTGGGAAGGAGCCAGGCTGCCTCTGGGAGCCACTGATGGCAGGAAGCAGGGTGTTTCGACTGGTGTTATCATGGATGTGGCTTTAGTGCCTTCGACAGCCCTTTCTTCAGTTTCCCCCAACTCCCCATGCCCTAGGCCTCCTGGCTTTGAAAAAGAAGGAGTAGAACACCCATGCACTGTGAAAATTCTATCCTGGCAATTCTTGGTGACCGGCTGGCTGTCTCTTCAGGGAACTTAGGGGGGCAACAGTAACCCAAGGAGTGGCCTGGAGGATGTGACAGACATGCTAATTGCCTGGGGAGGGTGAGAAGCCATACATAGGATGGGAAGCTAGACTGGACCTCAGCCATATTACCAGGGCTGTGTCCCATTCTGTGAAAACAGTACAGTCTCTGACGGGTGGATGGATGACCAGAAGTCCAGTAGCCACAAGAAGGAGCCTCATGGACTGCATACACACAGACGGATGTGTCTACTGTACCTCGGAGCTCGCATGCTGCAGTCTTTGCCTACATAGGTCTCTCAAGCTAAGCCCCTCTTTCTGCATGAAAGAGCCTCCTCAGTGTTCCCCGCGTCTGCTGGCCTTCTAGTTTACATGATACCTCAATGACGCTCAGATGTTACGCCTCTCAATCTGCAGATTAGGGCATGGCACGGGCCTTTGCCCACTCCTGAGTCTCTCCTCTCGGGAGGGGACCCTCCCTGCAACAGTCACGCCTCCACAAGGGTGTGGGTATGAGACAGTTTTCAGTCCCTGCAGGGTAGAAGTTGTGGCCTAGAACACTTCCCATTACGAAAGGGAAGTGAAACTCTGGTGAGAGGAAGTTCTGTCCCAGGTTCTGGACGTAATAGGAACTCTCTGGATTTCTGGGGTTGGTGTGTAGAGACTACACTTCGTGCCAGCTTTTTATGTAAAAGGTTGGAGGCAAAGTGACTGGGAAAATAAAGCCAGGAAATAGAGGCACAGCCTCCCGGCCTCACTAGGAAGGTTTCCTCTGACTGACTTTGTGTTACCCACACCACCACTGACTGACTGTTGGCATCCAGCATAGGACTCTGGGGTGTTGTTTCAGGGAAATGTGCCCCCATCACGAGCCAGCTAGAAAGCCCAGAAACAAAACAACCACTTCCCCAGGTCTTCCCCCTCAGGCTCTCATGCCCAGGCACGCTTGTGTCTGAGGCTTGCTCATTCAAGCAACAGTTGTATGACCTCGAGTCAGGCATCCTGTCTGGACCTCAGTTTTCTGCTCTGTAACTGGCTGCAGTTGGGAGGGCTAAAAGCGTGGAAAGTGCCAGGCACGGCAAGATCTGCTAACTCAGCCTCAGCAGAAGCCTTAGCTGAAGACCCAGAACGTAC